TGTGAGCTATGACACCATAAAACTCTACTGAGGGCAACAAAAGTGAGATTGTCTCAAAATAAATGAATGAATAAATAAACACATACATAAAGAAATAAGAAAGAAAAATAAGTAAGAGGAAAAAAATCATTTACTAGCCTTCAAATTACAATGTTTCTCTCATCTTTCCTCTCCCTACAAAGAAAAACATATAAATATCTGTACTCCATTGAGATATATTGAGTAACCATTCTCCTGGAATTCCTAGAGAATTTTATGCATGTAAAAATAACAAATTTTGTATCCCTTTTCTCCTTTTAATCTGCCTTTTGTCAGCTGATTTTCCCAAATCTTCAGAGAGTGAAGGGGAATTTTTTCCTTGGCCCCTACAATATTTTTAACTAGCCAGTCCCTCACAAATAAGCATGTTGTGTAAAAAGATTTCTGGAAACAGATCACAATTTGATGATAATACCAAAGTTGGAGGCACAGTAAAGGATGACAAGCTGAGGCTGGTGGCACTGGCTCATGCCTGTGATCCTAGCACTCTGGGAAGCCAATAGGGAAAGATTGCTTAAAGTTAGGTTGACCCAGCTCGAGCAAGAGTGAGATCCAGACCCCGTCTCTACAACAAATAGAAGAATTAGCTGGGCACTGTGGCTGTACTCCCAACTACTCAGGGGGAGGAGGAGCTTGAGGCAGGAGAATAGCTTGAGCCCAGGAGTTTGAGGTTGCAGTGAGCTGTGATGATGGCACTGTCATTATGCCTAGGTAAAGCAAGACTCTGCCTTAAAAACAGACAAACAAATAAAAAAAAGCTAATTCTTTCCCTATTCTAAGGTAAAAATAACTATATAAGTAAATTTGATAAGAAGTTAACTAAAATTTAAAATTATTCAAGATATATAAACTTTACCATAGTTGTACACTGTACATTGAGTTATTAGCTTGTGATTGTATAAAAATATAGTTTATTGATAAAAAACCTACACATAAAAAGAATGCTCAAAATTGTTTATGCATTGGTATGACATCTAATTTTTCAAAGCCTTGGAAACATAGGGACTAATATTAATATTATATCCTTTTCCTGCCATGCTGGCTAACTGATAGAGAAATCTTTTAGCTCTAAGTCTGGCACCTATTAACCTCTTAGATCTGCAAACTAATCCCTGCAATAAAGCTAGTTATTAAAAAATGCTTCAACAATTAGGAATATAATGAGTCCATTAAAGATATAGCATATGTTTTAAGAAAGCCCTCTTGGCTATTACTGATGAAGACCTGGTTCAGGCAAAGTAATACCTACAAACACAACCAATGCAGATTTATAAGGAAAGGTTAATTAATGTCTATTTATTTCATACATTCCCACTGGAAAGTGGGAATTTACAAAACATACATACAAAGAAAAAATGTAACTCTTTAAGGATATACCTTTTACAAACAAGAATGCTTATAAGAGTCAAAGCTATGTCTCAAGGTCTTGTACTCTTATTATTCTAGTCTTCGGTAACCTAAATCCCCAAATCATTAAAGGATTGTATATCTGCAAATTCTGATACATACGAGGTCTGACAATTAAGTTCACAAAATCATCTTAGAAAAAAATGCTATGTTCTTTGCTGAATATCACTACAGGCACCTTTGAGGTACTGCCTTTAGCTATCTGGTGACCACAGAGATATTCAGCAATGGGACACGTAACACTTTCTCTAGGAGAGTTTGTGAACTTAATTGTCAGACCTCAATATGACCGCTCTAATTAGCATTCCAGAAAAAGAGTTCCAAAACTGTTTTGAAGGGTGAACTAGGCGCTGGCATCAGTGCATAGCTTCCCAAGGGGAGTACCTTGAAGGAGACTGTAGTTACATTTATCAATGAAATATGCAACACTTTTTCTAGGCTGAGTTTGTGAACTTAACTGTCCCACCTTGTACTCCTCTCAATGCCTCATCAAAACAGTAGTGAACCCTCCTGAATCAAGACAATGGCAAGAGACTGAAGGAAGGAAATACCAACTAAGAATGACTGGCATAGAACAGATTGCTGGGGAAAAAAACAGAGGACAGCCCACAGACACAGATATTCGAGGTATTGCTATTTTAATCAAATAAATACGTTTATGAGATATTAAATATCATTCTCAGTACATGCCTTTAATTTTAAGAAATTGCTGCTTTTAAAAACAAACCCTGTCTCATATACTTAACTTGGCAGGACAGAATTGAGAGACTACACTAATATTATTTAAACAAATGCCATAAAGTTACAAAAATTTAAAAGAAAGATTACAACAATTGCTTTAATCATTTCTCACAATATATTACCAACTCACCAGTGGTTGAAACACTCATTAGGCCCTTTCTTTACCTTGCAAATTCCTCTTCCTGAAAATGTTGTTTTAATAACCAATAAAGAATAAAGCTATAATACAACCTTTCTACAATGTATACATTACATCAAAACATCACATTGTACCCCATAAATATATATTTATTATTTGTCAATTAAAAAAAAAAAACTTAAAAGCCAAGCAATAACCTGAGGTCTGTTACATTTTACTGTTGTAGGTAGAACACTTGAACAAGAAGGTTGCAGTGGAAAGGGAACAAGGTAAGAGATAATATTACTCCTCTTTTAATGAAATACAGTCTTTAAATAAATCTTAACATCTCTGTAGAAGCTGTTCATTTGGTAGCTCGTTTAACAAAATATAAAGTTTTTTTTTTTTGAGACAGGAGCCTCAAGCTGTCCCCCTG